AAGAGTAATGTGAGAAAATTTGACAACATACCAACTGAGAAAGAGAAACCTATGACTAAATCTAGAACTTAATCATCCTTAGTGGTTTCAATAGAGAAGAAGAAGAAGATGAGGAGGAGGAGGGAACTGGGTCTGATGAATGGCAATGGTGATGTTCCTATTTTAAATCATCTCTCTCTGATGCTTTCATATTGGCGATGATAACAAAACATAAGCTTGGCTGAAAATAGGCTCTAAGGGAGAAAGGGTGAGAGGAAGATGACTTTTTTCGAGGACAAAAAGGTTTAGAAGGTAAGAGTACATAAGAAGGATATTTTGAGAAAAATACTATAGATGAATAACATCATGTGGGGTCACTTTAGGGAAAACATTATAGATAAATAGTGTAATAGTAAAAAGGTTGATGGGCTTTATAATATATAAGATTTTATACACTAAAACATAGCATTAACTAAGGTTGTTGGAAATATGAAGAGTTAAAGGAAGAGAGTGAAAACTATGATTTATCCTAGTTTAAGTTCACCACTTAAGCCTTCGTCCAGTCCCCAAGCAACTACTTGAGATTTCTTCACTATAACATAAGCCTAAGTAGGTGCTTGCTACCACAATACAAGTACAAGTTTAATTCAGGAACTTGTAAGCCTTTATGGCAACTCACTTTACTGAGCTTCTTATCTTAAGAGAACAACCTCTCTTGATTACAAGAAAAATCTCTCTCTCACCTTTACAATAATTTATGTAAATTACTCGATTAAAAATCTATTTAAGAGCAATAGTGAGTACAATGAAACTCTAATACTCAAATGATGAAAATATAAATGATATTGGCTTATTAACAATGATTTTTGTATAAGACTAATATGAGCATGGATTTCATAGCTTAGTAATTTTAGAGGTTAATCTCTTATTAAGATACGTTGGAGTGTTATATTGATAGGTCATATTTATTACATACTTTTCTTAAGTAATTGGGATCACATTTCATGGTAAGAAACCTTAAAATGTGCATTCTTAGTGCGAAATTAGGGTTTTAATCCCTAATGAGAAAGTGTGCATATTAGGGGCATTTTGGTTATTTTTCACTTTATTCGAAATTCAAGGGCAAATTGAGAATTTTATGTGTTCATTAGTTTTAGGACCATTTCTATATGTTAAGAGTCTCTGTATGCATTGATATCACATTCTTAATGCAATTTTACTTAAGTGTTCAAATACATACATTAGGGGTAATTTAGTCGTAAAATGCACTTTCTCACCAAATTAGAGTTAAGCTTGAGATTTCTATCTTTTCAGGAGTTAAGATGATTGGTCTAATTAGTTTTTATTGATTCATCCTAGGTTAACATTTATTAGGAAAAGACAACATTTTAAGGTTGCCTCCTTAAGGGTTTCCAATTAGCCTTTGATTTTGGTTTAAATGTGTGCTTATCTACACTTGAGTCTTATTAGGCTTTCATATTCATTTTTTATTATTCATTTTAATACTTTGGATGAATTAAATATTTTATATCTTAGTCTAATTAAATAAATGTCACACTATGATTATTTGATTATCTAATTTAATTGTGACTTAGGTGAATTACTGTGACAAATGAAGACATAACTTAAGGCAATTGAAGAAAGCTTCCAAGGAGAATTATAGACAAAATTCTGGCATGATTAACAAGGCTAAATAAGGCATAAAAGAGGTTTCCATGCACATGCACATAAGGGATCAAGTTGACTTGTCAAAGCTCAAGTTAATTGCAATGTGTTTGAGAAGCTTGGAGGAAAATTTTGGATCTGAATTTGCATTGCATTAGGTGTGAATTCCAAGGCAATTAAGGGAACAAAAGAGCTTATCATGTACATGCACATATGGGATAAAAAGAGCAAGCATTAGAATTATCACTTAAGTAACTTGCAACCTAAACTACCCTTAACCTTACTTGGCCTAATGACTTGTAATTATTTTTGTGGAAACTTGCTTAGGAGGTAGCACTTCATATTTTCATCCAAAACAGGTTTAAGCTAGCTTAGGATCAGATTTTCAAATGATTCACTCATATTTTCATTTTTCAAACTTCAAGTTCATCAAATCCGCTCATTTCTCTCTCTACACTTCCATATTCTCTCCTCTATATCTCTCAATCTAACTATTTAAATTTCACAAAACCACCACCATTCTCTTCCTCTTTTCTTCCTCCACATAAACTAATAGCTTTCTCAAGGATCAAACTAAGCTATCTTTAGGAAAAATCATGGTGAAGAAGACCATAATCTTAGAGCTTCATCTTGTTTATCACTTAAAGATGCAAGGCTAGATTTTTGAAGGAGCTACTATGTGGAGAAGGAAACCTTGAGTTTGTATTATTTTCTAGTTGAATTTGAATTTCTTCTCTCTATTTTTCTCTTTCTAGAATTAGAAATTTGTATGATTCTTTGATCTTGTAATCTCATGTGATGATTTATTTGATTGAGAGAAGCTTGTTGCAACTTGAGTTATGTCTAGTGCATAATTTTGGCCTATTTGAGTTGTATCATAATCTTGATATAGCTTGATGAATTTAACATGTTTTCTTGCTATTCATCATCTTGCCAACTTGAATGCATGTGAATATCTTCATGAATCATAATCTTGAGTATGTTGATTCCTTTATATGTGTTTGACCTAATTGACTCATGTTTGTAACACTTAAATTTAATGCTAGCTTTGCTTTGGCTTACTCTAAGATCATAATCTTGGATTGGGGTTGGTCAAGGTATTAGCTAAGTATTAGTTAATATAACTAAGTCACTAAAACCAAAGAGAAGAGAGAAGAAACCAAACTAGCTAGGTTGTAATCAAACAAGGATAAGTGGCCAATTCTACATAGGAGTTCCTACTTCTAATAGGTTCACACACACCCACTCCATTTCCTCTAAAATTAGGTTAATTAGCTTAATTAATTTTGAGCCTAATTATTTCCAAATCACCTTTAACTTGTAGCACACTTCAAACCTAAATTTTCCAACTAAACGTCCTCATAGAGATTGACTTAAGTTCATACTAGTACTATATTAGTGCAGCTTAATATTATTTTGCTAGGGTAGTTATAACCTCAGTGATATATTTAAAACCTATAGAGTGAAATAAGTGTTGGAGACATCATATGATCATTTGTAGTCATTATGCAGAGATTATAGCCGTTAGTGATGTTTCTCACATGGAACTAAAGCTCATTCACGTGTGTTTTAGAGTTTTCACAAGCAAAGGTAATAAATCTCGCTTGTGACATGACAAATCACACTTGAAACATCATGCGATATTGCCCAAGTGATAAATCACACGTGGGTATAAAGTGATTCATGTGTGTTTTGAACCATAGAAGCTATTGAGTAAAAGTAAGGCTTTTAGGAGATGTTTCACACGTACATAGGAAGTGCTTCACGCATGATTTAGATCATAAAAGCTATTTAGTGAAAATAAGGCTTCTGGAGGTTGAATAAGGTGTGAGGGTAGTGAGGTTTCATGCTTGAAATGGATAATGAGGCAATTTCAAGATGAATCATACATATGTCTTAGTATGAATCACGCATTTTTTAGGGGGCTTCGTTGCACATAATTTCATAATGCTATACCTCTCTCAATACAACTCCAAATCTAACAAATTATATATCTTTGGAAAGCTCTTGAAGTTTATTTTTCAATAGAAAAATTTTCACATTAAATTCAATGTAAGTTTGAGATATGATCAAAATAGTAAACAAAGGTCAAGTTTGAATGCTATGCAGAATCAATATCTCAACACTCAAATTCAAAAATTCATATCTTTGTTAATAGAACTTCATTTTGAATAAAGAAACTATTTTTGAAAATTTGTTGGAGTATATTTTCAGATGAGATATGTTTTACATTAAAATGATTTGTGTAGTGAGAATATGACAAGAAACATGACTAAAGGTCAAAATTAATTTTCTGCACAATTGCAATTTCAAAGCTTAGATTTCAAGTTAATAACTTTTTCAGCTTAACTCTATTTTGAGTAAATAGAATAACTTTAAAAACTTTATAGATTTATTAATCAAAATATTTTTAACCTTATGAGATATATATGATCAAAGATGAAAAGCATGATTATAGAAAAGCATATCTTACTCTTTCTCTGAAGAGCTAAAATGCATGTTTTGATTTAAAATACCTTAAGCCAATATTTCATATCTAAACTAATGACTTTAACATAAAGCCTTCTAGCCCAATGATATTATACCTATTAAGTCCAAGGTGTAACCTCCCTAAGGTTAAATTACACTTAACTCTAAATTATGGTAATCCAGGGCTTAACTCACAAGAATTACCAAACTGTAGGGTTTCTAAAAGGATTTCTCAAAATCTATTTCAAAGAATCCCAATTTTGCCATTTTAAATCTCAAATATAATTTAAGGACTTCAAATCAGAGTTTTAAAAACAAAGTGGAAGCTTTGAAATTAATTAGGACCCAAAAATGAGTTTTAAAACTCAAAACAGATTTTTACATTGATTTTGACACGTGCACTGCGGCTTACGGTTCGTGCACTGTGGCATGTCTCCTCTGTGCCATACATCATAGCGTGAGGTGCCATGCACTACGGTGCATTACAAGAAATTTGACAGATCAGTGCTGTCATTTGATAGCACAGGGAGCAAACTTTCGACGCATCCCAAATCTCTGTCCAACATTCAATTAAGGTGGCTTTGGTGTCTACACAGAACTTTCTCCTAACTCTAGCTAATGGTACCAATTTCACACTCAAATTCATTTTCTATCAAAAGTTGGACACTAAAACCCATTTTGACATATTTTCACAAAATTTCCTAAATGGGGTGTCCCAACTCAACTATGCATGCCAATAGCCTACACCAACCCTCCGACAACACTCAATGGACTCTTGTGGACTTGTGCAACACACCACACACAACTAAAAATGCTTGTTTCACAAAATCACCACTCAACCCCAATTTTCACAAACATAGAGGGGGAGGAAAAGTTGCACCAAATAAACCATTTTATTCATATTTCTCAAAAATACATATGTTCCTACTTGCTCAGGTATTTTGGCCCTATCCACAAGTTTACAACAAAAACTCACTATCCTAGGGCACAAAATCATACAAGTAGTAAACCAATCATGACAATTTATCCTAGTTGGCAATTACATTGACAATTACACATGTAAACAACTAAAGAGAGACATAAAGAGGATTTACTCCACAAATCCTAAGTCTCTGTGTGTTTTCCCCGACTTGGATCCAATGAGCTAGTCTCTGAAAATATTGAGAATTGAGGGGTGAGTACAACCACTCAGTAACTAAGTTTCACTTAACCCTTACAATTACATATTAATTATAAATAGATGCAAAAAGGCACATAACACATATATCACATAGTATTGGGTCATAGTTCACAAAATTAACAACCATGTGACCGAGCTTGTCACAAAATACTATATCATGTTATTTTTAAAAACATAACTCAAGGTCACAAAAATAACAACCATGCGCCCTTAACACTTGCCGGACCACAATACTAACAACCATGTGGTCGGACTTATATGCATGATCATGTGCCAACCTTATATCCTCCTATTACCTTCGACATAAAATCAGTGGCTATCACGAGGCTACATCCTTCACAGACTAACCTAGCCTTTCACTTGTGAGTAGCTACTGGGCTAAGGTTAACTCACTTCTGTAATTCAGTTTCCTTCAATACTACAACCTTGGGGTGTCATACCCCCAATCTAGCTCCCTCATGAACTGATAGAGACTAGTTAGGTTTGAATCCCTCGTATAATAAGTGGGACAGTCTCAAATCAACCATAGGACAAGGGCTACCTCTTGATTCCAACAGTCGGTGCCAAGGCTAGCTCTCAGTTTCAATGGTCACTACCAATACCACATGAATTTCAACCAATCTACTCCTCTACCTAGGCGAACTCTTGACAATGATTATGCTATGCACATTTCACACATAATATGCATTTTAACAATTATTCTTCAACACATGAATTTACATAACACATATGCTCCACATTTTAACACATACTTTATCATAATTCTCCACCCATAGTAATAAATCATAATTAATTTGATAAAACATTAAGGGTGGTAGAATCGAGGTTTTTCTTTCTCAAAACCATTTCATACTCAAGCATTTTCCAATATGCAATCAGATTAACTCATAAATCACATTTTAGAACACGATTAACATTTTAACTATAAAAATTAAGTTTCCCATGGTTACCTCAAATCTTTGAGAAGTTAAAGGTTTACCCCTCATTATAGCAACTTCCTCAAGCTTCAACAAGCTTGAAAGGTGCCAAGATGAACTTCTCTACAACCAAATCATAAGGATATCATCATCATCTAGCTCTTCAAGCTCTATCAATAAAAACTCCTCATACTCTATTTTACCAACTCATAACCACTACCCGTTCATACCCAATGGACTTATTAGATTCTATTAATGCACATTATCATTAATAACATCTCAAACTATCATTAATGCACATTAACCTCTCTGAACTAGCTCATAAATATTAATTTTGGATATGAAATACTCCTATGGACTAACAACTTTTAAAATCATCAATGTGGTGTTTCACTACATTAAATCACTTCCATTAATCTCATTTAAACCAATAGAATCGGACCCATACTCTTATGGACCAAAAATCCATCTCCCAACTTAAACCCTACTATAAATAATCATAAATGAGAGAGGGAAGGGAAGAAGGAAGCACCTATTCTTACCTTAAGTGTTAGGGAGTTTCAATCTATCCTCAATGGAGCCAAATGTTGTGCCCTAGCGGAGCCAAATGTCATGCCTTAGCAGAGCCACAACTAAGCTCTTCATTTCCTCCTCTCTTCCTCTTCTATTTTCACGCAGCTCATGAATCAAATTTATCATATTTTTAGCTGTGCGCCATGGCACACGTTGCCCTTTGCTGCAGCGTATGGCACAAAGGAGCCCATTACATTCAAATTGTGTCCGTGTGCCGCAACGGACCAACCACGCACCGCGGCGGGTGGCACAGAACACAACTTTCACTTTTTCATTCTCTTTCCTTGCCCAGTGGCCCGCCATTGATCTGGACCCACTTCTAGGGCTAAAATCACATCAATTATGCTAAGTTAAGCCCCTCTGGCCACATACCTCATTCACTCACTAACTACCTTAATTAGGTTAACAAATTAGAGTTAAAAGTTTCTAATGTTACACAAGGCTTCCAAGATGTATCCAAGCTTATATGAATGTCTTCATTCTTTTTAAGCTCTTCTTGAATCATCCTTCTTTTTATGTTCTCCTATCTTGGGTGTGGCATGCATGCTAATGATGACTTTATTTTTTCCCTCTTCATGCTCACTCTCATCTTCACTTTGAACAACCTTAAATGATATATTATGAACAAAATGGTTAGTCCAAATGTCAATATGCATATATTAAAGTTATGGAAGATGATACTGTGAACACTTTTGGATATAGAATTTAAGATAAGAAAAAATATGATAGTATAAAATAATTTTGAGGCACGCAAATTATTTTTTCAAACCTCATGTAAAATGGAACAACATAAGTAAAAACACTTCAAAACACTTATTCTATAGTCATAGTTAACTACTATGTATATAAAAATGATTAGGCATAAGTATAGTTAATTCATTTATATTTGTTTATTATCAAAACTTAAGCTAAACATAATGTCACAAGCCATTATGTTCAAAAATCTTCCCCCTTTCTAATGATAATAAATCACCTATAAAAAATTTGCTTATATAATAGAAAATAAATTTTTAGCAAATAAAATTTTTTATGATAACTTCTTCCCCTATTTGTCATTAACAAAAATTTTTTTAAGTAAATGCAAGGGAATACATGAATAAGATAAGGTTTTGAGTTTTCCCTTGAATATGACTTCTTCTCCTTATATGACTACATCAAGGTGGCCTTATTTTAGAATTTTCTCTTTCCATTGGAGAAATATGAACAAGAAGCTTCTTGATGTTCTTGATTTGAGAATTGCTTCTTGAAGATGATTCCTCCCCCTTAATGACAACATTTTGTGATAACTTGATAAAGTACTTGGTGCATTAGTTTGATGAATTATCCTCAAAAGATTAACTCTTCTTTTGCACAAGGAGTTGGAGGAATTGCTTGTTGTTGCGTATTGATTCTTCTATATGCATGAATTGAAACACTAATAACACAAAGAAATATAGTATTATGATAGAAATAGATTAGAATATGCTTATGACACATAGATACCAAATACGAATGATGTTAAAAGACTTAAATAGGTAAGGTTAAAATACACCAAGTGTGTAAATAATTGATTTTATCAAAATCCTTTTGGTTTAAAATATGAAATAATGAATGTAGAACAAAATGTTATGATTTTATAAATATGATGCTTAAAATATGTTAAAGATAGTTTTCATCATCAAAACTTGTCAATCATGCAATGCTCCCCCTTAATGAATGTATACAACTCAAATTTAAAAAGTTAAGGGTTTAGAAATGCTCATTTAGATTTGGCATGATGGTGTTGATTCATGAAGATCATTGCCAATGTTGTTCCATCTCAAGCTCTTCCTTCTTTTACTGCTCCTTCTTATTCTTCTAGTTGTAAGGTCATAGCTAAAATGTTGAATTTCTTTGCAATTTTCCAACAATTATAATGAAACTTGATGCATTTTGATCATTTCCAGCTTCAAGTCACTTGAACTCATTATTTTGCTATGGTGATCCATCTTTCTTAAGTTGGCACATGTTGATTACATGGATACCTAATTTTTGATGGCTTCAACAACTCATTTGTGATGTAGCCTTGTGGTTTACATGGATTTCAACTATTTGAATTTGACTTTGTCCCTTTCATCCATGTATTTCCTAAATTTGAAGGCTATAAGATGATTATTGAACTTGGTCTTGTTATTTTCCTCCAATTTTTAGTTGTTATTTCCTCTACCCCTTTTTTTTCTTCATTTTGCTCTTCAACCTCTCAATGAATCTTCTTCATTTTACTTGATAGGCTGTTCTAGTCTTGGGGGTCATCTACTTCATAATCTTAAATAATTCTTCATTAAATGTGATGTTAGTAAGAGTGATGAGTTAATACTGGAAGATGTTTTGTATATTCTCAAGCTTCACTTCTTCATTATAGGCTATCACATAGCTAAAGAAATCTTCACTTGACTATATGAGCTTGTTGCAGTTAAGTAGCCTACTTCACATGTGTTTCAAATGTACATTCCATGATAAGCTCTTTGAAACTCTTATTTGCACGTGCTTTCATTCTGGTGCACACTTGTTTCAGCAAGCTTCTTAGTCATGACCCTTTGTTATTGTTACATCTAAAAAATAAAGGGTGATCGGCATGAGATGTGAACATTATCACACATCTTTTAAGCCCTAAATTGAGAAATCTTCCCATTTTAAAACAAATGAGTTTATGCCAAAATTATAACATACTTAATAACAAAATTATTATAATAAAAGATTGAATATTTTCATAAAAATTTTGGCAGAATCTCTCCTATAAATAAGATATTTCAAAAATACTACAAAACAATATTTTACAAAAAATATAGTTTCAATTAAGAGTTTAGCTCCTTCCAGCCAGCAGACAACATACATCAAAATATAAATATAGTTATAGGCTATGTGGAGCACCTAACCTTACTTTCCAAAACAAAATACGTGAATTCAAATATCTACATCAAAAGGGAGATAATGCTAGGTAAAATTTCACCCAGAATAGCTATATGCCCCTTCAGAGGTCAACAATAAGATCAGCATTAATAAGAAATTTAAAACCAAAATAAATTTCTAGTGAATATTATCCCAATAATAAATAATTAAATATGTATAAAAATAAAGTTTAACATAATTATGTGTGCTAGAAATAACAATTTTTGCAAACAAATATTTAATAAACTTTGTCATAAAAGGACTTTATGTAACTTCAAATAAATTCTTGATTCATTAAAGTATCATATCAAACGTCATTATCATGTAATTTCAATAAAGCAAATAATTACATTAAATAATTATAAATATGTCATTAATCAAAATCAATGAAAAATAAGTCTATCAAATGATTAAAAACTCATAATTATAGGGACTTATCAGAATAAGTAATAAATGTAGACACATAGTCTACAAGCATAAATAACTAAACGCAGCTAATGCCACGAAACAAACGTGAACACACAGTCCACAAGGGTAAGTAACCAAACGTAGCTGAAGCCATGAAACAAACATGGACATATAGTCCACGAGGGTAATGCTAACCAAACATAGCTTAGAGCCACAAAATCAAATGTTGGTATTAGACCCACGAACAACAAACGTGAGCACGATGATCAGAAAAGTTGAACTAACTAGTCATAACCATAGCGTGCAAGTGCTACTGGAATTGCCACTAGCAACCAGTGTTCTGTAATAAGTTTCTTTTAAATTCAATTTCAAACATGCTAGAAAATCATCAGTAATAAATAAAGTTTTCATTTTTAAAGTCAAACTCGCATGAATTATTCTCTATATCAATTCAATAATTAATAGAATGAAATCTCATAGTCAAAGTCTAAACTTATATTTATTAATTAATTAAAATTTCAAAACAGATGAAGGTAATTTCCCAAAATAAAGAAGTTTAATAAACAAACTACTTAATAGTCACATCGTTGTTACTGAAACAATTTGCATAAAAATGTACTATTATAGTAAAGGAAATCTTTATTGAAAGATTAGTTAGGATGCTATCCACTTACCTTATAGTTTCCCAAAATTTTAAAGTATGATTCTCTTAATCTTCCACTTTAATTCTAATGGTGCTCTAAATTTCTTGACAAAAAAATCATAGTTTTAAAATCATTTATGAAGAAATTTTTCAATTACTTACTGGACATTTAAATTCAATCTAAACAATATTAAAGATAATACTCTAACCAATTATATTTCAAATACACTTAAGTTAAGTAAATCATTTGTCCCTTGTGACCCATACTCATTTATAGATCATTATAAACCATATCTATCATTCTTAAGCTTCTTCTAGATTAAAGGAAATGTGAAACAAGCATCCTATGTAATCCTTTCTCCCACTTTAACAACTCATTTTAAAATTTTCAATTAACAACTTGAACTATAATTATAGTTACTTTTCCAAGCTATAATATGAAAGCTTTAACAACTCATAATTCATCAAATTCTTCTCTCTCATATTTTTTTTATAAATACCTTGAGAGCATGCATTTATCATTGGCAAAAATTATGAGATGAACAACCAAGAAATTCTAACAACTCCCAAGCCTTTACTTTTGTTAACCAAATTTAATTTAGTCCCCACAATAGCACAGCATCTAATATTGACTAAAACTAAACCTTAATTCTTCTAGAACTTTATGACAGCAACAATAAGGAATTAGAATGTTATAACTCAGCTAGAGGAATGATTTATGAAAAATCACTTGGTGCTGCTATAGAACCCAAAAGGGAAGAGAAAAACCCAACAACTCACCCCTAAATGAAATTTAGTGGCAATATCTATGAACAAATACAAGCCCTACATCAAGAAAGAAAAGGAAAAAAATAAAGTTTTGAGCTCCTATGCAAACCAAAAGCAGACCAAAATTTTAGCTAACAAATGCAATAGTTGAACTGCCCGCCACGTATACGAAACTTTCAGCAATTGAGGATGAAGAAGAGAAAAAGAACAAGCACACTTCACTCCATGATGAGTAAAAATTGACAGTAGCAAGAGATAAGAGAAAATGACAGATCTTTAAATAAAAGAGAAAAGAAACAAGTAACTTACCATATACACGTGTAACAACTAGAATTAAGGAGCAAGAGAAGTTCAAGATGACGCACATACACTTGCCAATACCAAACAAGAAAGGAGCAGAGGAGGACGACAGGGGATGAGTTTTCGATAACTCAACCCCCATAGCAACTAGTGATGTGAATAGAGAGAAGGGGAATGGATGAGCAATGGTGGTGAAGAGGGAAGTCAACAACGATATCTAAAGATGCTAATGGCGGTGAGAAGGAAGGAAGGATTCAAACTCTCTCTCTCTCTCTCTCTCTCTCTCTCTCTCTCTCTCTCTCTCTCTCTCGATTCTTCACTGCTCTTAGCTTCAAATGTAGGGGAGGGTAAGAAATATTTGATTCAAAGGAGAATTAGGAAATTTACAAGGAATGGCCAATGAAAAAAATTATAAAAATGAGCACAAAATTTTCCTATAACTAAAAATAAAATAAAACTAAATTTTTTACTCAATAGAATTCAAACTTCAAATCTTCAACAAAGTTACTAATATAAGTTCCATTTAAATTATCACTCTCTACTTGTTATAAAACTAATTTAAATAAAATATTAATCGGAAGAAAACTTAATTTATTGAAAAATTTAGGGTTATTACAATTATCTTAGACAAGCTTGCTCCCATTTCAAAAAT